GGACACACACGGCAAGGGTGTTTGTTTTAGATAGATAGATAGATAGATAGATAGATAGATGGATGGATGGATAGATAGATGGATAGATAGATAGATAGATTGATAGATAGATTGACAGATAGATTGACAGATTGATAGATAGCATTTGTATTGCGCTAATTCCCCCCGCTCAACGGCAAGCTCTTTGCGCTTTATAATCTATATTTCCCCACTCCGAAATCAAAGTCTTGTCTTATGCGTACAAGGCCATGATCCTGACCATTACACCATAAAAAAAAGAAAAACGCCATTATGTAGAAAACAAACAGTTGGGGGGGCAACAGTGAGACTGAAAAGAATAAAGCTGAGCACACCGTACCACAGCATCCTCCCCCCCCCTTTTCCAAAAATAAATTAAAAAAACAAACAACCAACAATAACCAAACAAAAGACGCCCCGTTGACGGCTGGCGAGGATGTCCGGTGACAAGACGAGAGTAGCTGGGAGGTCAGAGGGTCTGCTCGCGCACAGGACGGCCAAAATGTCTTGACCAAGATTGCTCGCCTGTGACATTTCCCGCCTATCTCAGAGCCCGATAAAGAGCATAAGGGCATACAACAACAAAAACCCCTCCACTCATATCTGGCATTTGGCCGGCGTACGCCTGACATCCCGAGCGCACACTCATCCGCACTTCTCTTCCTTCCTCTTGGGTTTTTTTTTTTCTTGGATTCAGAAACCCTATCAATGGCAAGAGGAGATCTAAAGACCTTCATCTGAGAATGCCAAGCCAGCCACGCGTTTCTCAACATAATAATCTGCTGCCCTTTCCTTTTTTGCCTTATCAACGGACAGATAGGCCGAACGGAACACCACGAGGGAAGGTGCATCCAGGTGTTGTAGAGCAAAGAGCACCCAACACTTTATGAATATGGAAGAAAACAAAGTAGAAAAAAGGAGAATGATAAGGCTGTTGCTCGTTGACGTCACAGTGTTTTATGAATGAACCACAACATGCTGAGTCTGTGCTATTGCTCGTGCCACATCTTGACAGACAGCACCGGCCACGCCTCTCAGCTTTCTTCGTTTTTTAGTTTTAGTAAGAGTTTTACGGCCCTTGCAACACAATAAGGTAAAAAAAAAGTGTGGAAGATTAGAGGTGTTACAAGAGAGAAACAAACACACAAAAGAAGGAGTGGAGAAAAGGACAACAGACGTTCGATAGGAAAGAAGGAGCAAACCACACCAGAGCACCCGCTAACCACCCACCTTCTCTCGTTGACGTCACAGAATTTTATGAATGAACCACAACATGCTGAATTTGCGATTGCTCGTGCCACATCTTGACAGACAGTAGTGGCCACGCCTCTCAGCTTTCTTCTACACGTGACCGTCAGGCAAATAATAATCATAAACATGAAATGCTTCACCACCATGCTTTAACGTCTTACTCACTTGTGGTTTTCCATTCTCGAAAACTGGGAAGTATCTCATTCTATGATTTGCGCGATACCCTTTTCCTTCATTCTCTCCTCCCACGTTAACGTAAGATTAAAGTTCTCAGGCACTCCCATTGATTTTACAAATGACCTTGAGAGGAAAGATGGTTCATTTATCTTCTTGTCTATAATCAAATACAAGCACAGACAATATTCCCAGGAACCATAAAATGCACTAGGAGACTAGTGGCGTTGTCACAAAATAGTATGTAGCTCCTGATAATATTGGTCAATGTTTGAGTATATCGCGTACAGTGTTAGTTGCTATTCAACCTGACCCTAAAATATAAAAAAATACTCTCCCTTCCTAAAAATAATACGCAAGAGCCATCCACACCACAAATCAAGCAAAACAGCGACAAAGAAGAAAACACCCACCTACTGAACAACCTAACCCACAATAAACGAAAAGATTATCTATAGATCCATCCCTTCCCCAAAAACAAAACAGAAGATGGAAAACCCCACAGCGACACAGAAAAACCGCACAACTAAAAAACAAAGCAAAACGCCCCATAGATTCCTTTCACGCCTAAACAATAACCCCCTCTCCCTCCCGTTAAAACAAATTCTAAATAGAACATTCTACATAAATACATTCGAAGATGAGTACCAAATAACTAAAAGCACTCTTTTAGTTTCGTTTTAGTAGAGGTTTTACGGCGTTCGTAACAGCATAAGGTCACTTGAACACCAGAAGATTAAAGGTGTTACAAGAGAGTAACAGACATGATAAAGAAGAGGGGGAGACAAGGACGATAGATGTTTGATAGGAAAAAAGGAGCAAACCACACCAGAGCACCCGCCAACCGCTCACAAAAGCACTCTACCACAACAATGAACCAATCAAAGCTCAGTATATAGGAGGTAGGCGGAGACTTACCGCCAATCCTGGCATTGTAAGCCACGCCCACACTGCACACGTGGTTGTTGGCCTGGGCCGCCACAACACCGGCACAACGGGTTCCATGCCTGGAAGGACAAAGAGAGAAAGAGACATGATTAAAACAAAGTAACAATGGTAATAATAGTAGGCCTAATAATAATAATAATAATAATAATAATAATAATAATAATAATAATAATAATAATAATAATAATAATAATAATAATAATAATAATAATAATAATAATAATAATAATAATAGGCCTACTAATAATGAATAATAATAACTACTTATATGACGCATATCCACGCTCTACAGCATGCGCTATGCGCTTTACAGCTATTAAGAGAGGAAGATTCATATAAAGTGCCATTCCCAAGGACACAATGTTGGACATCTAACGGGATTTGAATCCATGACCTTGCAACAACTGGACGGTCCTTTCAATATTTACTTTTAAAAAATCACAAATAGCTGACGCAACCACTATGACAGACGTCTGAAATGAATGGTGTTGAACAGAACAACCCAACGACAACACCCCCACCCCCCCAAAGCAAGTAACAGCCTGTGCCTTCAAGACGCCATGCAAACTCCCTCACGTTCAAGCAAGCACAATGTGCCGAAAAACACCGCTATGCTCTTTTACAGGTGGACGCACGTCCACTCCACAGGGCAAAGGATGACTTTCTTTGCTTGCAAATTTCGGCAAAACGCAAATAATCATTTGGTTTCAACACTTCTTTCATCACTGTTAGCTCATTCAAGAAACGAGACCTCAGAATCTGACGCCAAATTGCGATAGAACCGAGCCAACAAGGCGGAGGGCCTTAAAAATTCCCCGAACTCCTAACTGGGGATTCGAACCACAGTCAAACGAACCTCAACCACGCATGACACCAACTGAACTAAAGGCACGCCCCCAGCCTTGTGGAAAAACAAAATGGACACACACGGCAAGGGTGTTTGTTTTAGTTTGTTTTAGTAGAGGTTTTATGGCGCTCGCAACTGCATAAGGCAGGTCATATGAGCGCCAAAAGATTAGAGGTGTCACAAGAGAGTAACAAACAAACAAAGAAAGAAAAAAGAAAAAGAGGAGATAAAGACGATAGAGGTTTGATAGGAAAGAAGGAGCAAACCACACCAGAGCACCCGCCAACCACCCACGGCAGGGGTGTGAGTTTGAGGACAGACCAAGGGCCTCACAACAACCTTACTGTATGACCTCCATGGGACAGACAAGCACAGCGACAAAATAACGGCGCGATCATCTGTACTGGGGGGGAAATCAAGACGGACAAAGGCAAAATACTGGCGCGATCATCTGTACTAGGGGAAAATCAAGACGGGCAAAGAGACCAAATAGCAGTAGACACCTTGACACAAGGCTGTCAGCCTATACCAAACGATTCGATTCCAACAAAAGTCCGATTAAAACCAGAGTCAAGGGCAACATTTGGGCAAATTGTCTGAAGGGGTGGAGAAGAAGAACTTTATCTCAACAGGGCTTAGATGTCTCCTTCACACATTAACTCCCAATTTGAGAAAAAGAGACCAAACTACCAAACTAAATAACCAATTTTCTACTAATAACCCGACAAAAAGAAATCTAACTCTGCATCCCCATAAACGTATCATCACCACAACCGACAATCTCTATCGATCTCCCCTTGCCTTGTCTATCTGTGGCCCTATCTGTATGCTTGCGTGCCATTCCGTTTGCTCGCTGGCCGCAGTCACTAACTCAGACCGAAAATCAAATTATAAACACACATGACTGCATCGCTGGAATCGCCCTCAGCTAGACCCCCAGGCAGTAGACAGTACTGAAAGGCTATCAACTCCGGCAGCTGCTGATTGCTGCGCCATCACGGGGAATCACACGGCACCGCCGCGGTAGTAATGTGTTCCCTTTTCACGGACACTTTTCGCCCGGAACAGATGATACCCTAACCCGCAGGGCCGGAAGGAAGGGAACCGAATGAGGTACCAAAGGCAAGCAATAGTACTTAAAGTGGAGAGCGATGGGGCGTCAAACAGAGGTGTCTAGAAGAAAAGAAAGAAAGAAAAAACCTGCCTCCAATTCCTCCACCCCTCCCCAACCCCAAATTTCTCTAGCCTTGACTTCTGGAGACAGTATCTATTTGGAATCACCCCTCCCTTCTGTCCCCTCCCCCTTCCCCCCCCCCCCCTTTCCCTAACAATTTCTTGGCTTGAATTCAGATCGTTGCCCATTTCGATCTCTCTCTCTCTCTCTCTCTGTCTCTCTCTCTCTCTCCACCAGTCTCTCTTTCATTTTATCTCTCCCTCTCCTTCCCTTCCTTCTCTCCTCCCCATTATTTTATTGGGCTATTATTTCCTTCAATAGGATGTGCGACAAATCAGTACGATCCCTCGCCGGGAACAGTTATTGAATGGTGCTTCCCATTATCGTCAGAATTACCCACAGTTTCCCTCAACAAGAATGGGAGTCTCTTGAAATATCAGACAATTTATACCATCAAGCCTAGACAACAACCGACCAATTTCGAGAGGGCTACTTTACAACCTCCCTATATATAGATATATACATATAGAGAGAGGGAGAGAGAACACAGAGAGAGGGAGAGAGAGAGAGAGAGAGAGAGAGAGAGAGAGGGGGGGGGGGGGGGGAGGAAAAAAACTTTGTACACTCAATGAAGCAGAGCTACACCAAATCGATCCCACACGAAAACACAGGAACGAGCTAGGGGCGTAGGGGCGTAGGGGCGTAGGGGCGTGTGCGCTCATAATATAGGTTCACATCATCAAATAATAACATCTCTCCGCATTTCGCACGTGCAGGCCCACTCATCCCTAGTAAAACAAACCCAATGCCAAGGCCGACTCTACTCAAGAGAGGCAAAAAAAAAAAGTAAGGCGAAATGAAAAAAATAAATAAAAAGGAAGAAGAAACGCATAAATATCATTTTATATCACATTATATCAACCCTTTCATCAAGGCAATCAATGGAAGCACGTTGCGTTGCATCATTTCGCGAGAAAATAAAATCATCCTTGAGTAAATATCACAGAACGCAACACTATAATATCCTGAGGCGCGTCCCTTGCGTCATTTATATTTAATCTCTCTTCGATTGGCCCTAATCGAAGCAAAACAAAACGAAGCACTTGACAAATACGACCAAAATACACCCCTATTCAATACAATGCCCTTCAATTATTCTCTACACCACCACCACCACCATCTCCCCTCCCCCGCCCGCTCTTTTCAATATAAGTAGTGACAAGCTGGGTTTATTCCATAGAAGACGTGAATTTGCCTTCAGACCTTCAGGGGAACGGATAGAGATAGACTTCAGGAATGGAATGTGGGTGAGTGGCAATGGGGGCTGGCCGAGGAGGGGGGGGGGTGAGTGGAGAGGGGGGGTGTTGAGTGGATAGGGGGGGCTGAGTGGAGAGGGCGGTTGAGAGTAGAGGGGGTGAGAGGAAGGGGTGAGAGGAGGGGGGGAAGGTGAGCGGAGAGGGGGTGTTAGGGTGTGTGTGTGTGTGGGGGGGGGGGATTACGAGTGCCGAACAGAGAGCTATTAAACATGAACAGGGTTGCGAAAGAGTAAAATATCGCCGTGGAGCCCAGAGACAAGGCCAGCAATGTTGAGTGGCCGGGCCCGGCAGATGCACCACCGTCCTCGGGGACCCCGACCGTTTTTGGGGGGTTATTTTTTCCCGGCTTTTCATTTTATTGTAGATTAATTTTGTTTTTGGTAGCCTATTTCCCCATTTTCGGCTTTTTGTATGCTTCCCGCCCCCCCCCCTCATTTTTACTCCCGTTTTTTCCGAGCCGTCGCAATAATTGTCATTCCCATAACCTGCTATTTGTTACCGCATGGTCCTTTTTCACACCATCTGTACATCGCAAAACGGAGCAAATGCAACATTACGCTTTGTCTTTGTAACCAACTAACGTTTTTGGTGCTTTAAAATTTATTTTTTTTTAGATTGGCCAATATGACGCTTCCCTGCTTCGAGGTGATATTTGATGGGGGAAATGGTATTGTGGAAGAGTTCCCGATGGTACTGTCGTCATGTCCTTGTGGATCTATACTCGGCACCACCGCGCAACCACTCATGTACCCTTGACATTACTAATCAATATCGAGGCCACAATAATATAATGAAGGACATCGTCATCGGAGCGCCACGTCCTGCAATGTGTGTCATTTCGAAAAGAGGGCACTTGTGCTCTCCACCCCCCCCCCCCCCCCACCCCGTAATACACAACACACACACACACACACACACACACACACACACACACACACGGGTTATAGGAAGTGAAGCTGAGAGATAGTTGAGACCCCGCTCGAAACTACCAGCTTCCGTGCAACATTTTTTTCTTGTTTGTTTGTTTCTTCTTCTTCTTCTTCTTCTTCTTCTTCTTCTTCTTCTTCTTCTTCTTCTTCTTCTTCTTCTTCTTCTTCTTCTTCTTCTTCTTCTTCTATCCCGTGGTTGGGGCAATCGTGGGGGGCACCACTGCATCTGACAACCAGCTCTCACCATTTCTCTCTGTCCTCTACCTCTACTTTCCTCAGATTGTCACTACCGGAATCGTGATCGTGAGATTATGGGTTGTTCGGGGGTTCGATCCTCACCTCGGTCCGTCGTTGTGTCCTTGGGAAAGGCACTGCACACGAATGTCCAATTTGGCTCGGTCCTTTCGGAGATGGACATTAAACTCGGAAGTCCCACCTCTTAACCCTATCCGTACACCCTGGGGATAATTTTGTACCCCCGGGGTTGTAATCTTCACATGTTAGAATACTTCCAGTACAAGGATCTCTTTGAAACTTTCAGTATTTCTCAAAAAATCATTTTGACAGACTACTATGCAAATCCATCGGATTAACGAGTAAATTTCCTCTTTGGAAAGTGGTGGCACAGAGTTCCCCACAACGTATGGATACGAAAGTAAAACACGACGTACGGATAGGGTTTTAAATAACCTAATAGTGTTTATACGGACGTTAAACCGTTACCATTTTACCTTTTCAGAGGGGAACATTGACTCAATAATGGTAATCTAGTGCTGGGAAAAGTAAGACAGAC